CGCGCCCGCCGGGTCCTCAGCCGCGGAGGCGCCCGCGGCGGCGGCAGGCAGCAGAGCCAGCGGGATGCTCTCTAGGCTGCTCTTCTGCTCCGTCAGCAGGTGGCTCAGCTGGTACATCTCGCTCTCCAGGTACGAGATCTCGCGCGCCGTCTCGATAAACTGCCGATAGTTCTGGTAGACATTACGCTTCAGGTTCTGCGCCGTCTCCTCCGCCAGCGCCTGCACGCGCTGCCGGTGCTCCTGCAGGTCGCGGTCGCCGTCCGACTGCTGCGACAGCTGCTTCACGTACAGCCGCGCCTCGAAGCCCCCCGACTCCAGCTGCCTCCGCAGGCGGTTCGCCCCGCTGTCCGACATGGTTGACCCCCGTCCTGCGCCCGCCGCCCGCCGCCGCTGTCACTCGCCGCTCTCGGGCCCCACCCGAGTCCCGCGGAGAAGACGGCGGAGGAAGCGGGGCGGGAGCGACACCCGAACGCCTGCGCCGGAGCTGAGCGTCGCATTGCGCCTGTGCGAGAGGCGAGGCTCTCCTCCTGCGCCTGCGCGTGGGGCGGAGGGCCGGCGACGCGCCTGCGCGCAAACGGCCGCTCCTTAAGGCGCGTGCGCGAAGGAGCCAGTGCGGAAGTCAGAGGCGGCTTGGACGCGCAGCAGACCTGACGTGAGACGCCGGACGTCGGGAGCCTTCAGGAGGCAGCGGCTGGCTTCCCGCAGCCGTCCCTAGCCCGAGCCCCGCGTTCCCTAGCTGGTGTCCGCGAGACGACGCGAAGCCGTTTCCGCCGAGGCGTTCGAGGCGAACCGGCGCGCGCCCGACCGCCAGCCCCGGAGCTCTCGCGAGACCCGTGTGCCGCGCGAGCACGACCGGCGTCCCCGCAGTGGCCTGGTTGGGAGTAGCGAGATGGACGAGGACCTGGTGGTAGCGCTGCGGCTGCAGCAGGAGTGGGACGTGCAGGTGGCGCGGCGCGCGGCGGCGCGGGAGCCCGTGTCGTTGGTGGACGCGTCCTGGGAGCTGGTGGACCCCACCCCGGACCTGCAGGCGCTCTTCTTGCAGTTTAACGACCGCTTCTTCTGGGGGCAGCTGGAGGCGGTGGAAGTGAAGTGGAGTGTGCGCATGACACTGTGAGTGCGCCCCACGAACGGCTCCGAACGTCGGGGAGGGCGAGGCTGCGGCGTTGTCGTTGGTGTCCCCCGCCTCGCGGCGGACGGAGACGTGCCTGCGCTCCAGAGCGGGCCGGGTTTAACGGCCCCCGGTGCTGTCCCAGCGGACCCCCGTGCCACCCGTTGAGTCAGAGAAGCCCCAGTTGAGCTAGCAGTCTGCCCCTCTCCTACTGCGTCCTGTCCCCTAGAAAGCGGCCTGCGGTAAAGCAGGGGAAGATGTAGTGTAGCTGTCACTTCACACCAGCCCTGTGCTCCTCAATGCCTGTGTGGGGCAGACTGGGTGACAGTGGGTGAGGGCGAGCAAGTGTTACTGCCTGCACCCAAGTGTTCCCCTCAGGAAAGCCATCTGCCTTTAGGGACCTTTCCTGTGCACAGCACACGAACCGGCAAGGATCTGCTTTTGTTTTTCGTTTTATTCTGTTTTTGTTCGTTTGTTTTTGAGACAAGGCCCCACTATGCATCCCCGTCTGGCCTGGAACTCAAGACATCTGCCTGCCTCTGCCTCCATAGTGCTGGGATTACGGGCATATTCTGCCACGGCAGCCTAGGGTTTACTTTTGATCGGTCTCCTCTGACTCTCCAAAACAGTGGATTTGGTGAACCTAATCCATTGTTGTGATTGCTTTCCAGGTGTGCTGGGATCTGTACCTATGAAGGAAGAGGAGGAATGTGCTCCATCCGTCTCAGTGAACCCCTTCTAAAACTGAGACCCAGAAAGGACCTTGTAGAGGTATTCTTTGATAAGCCTGTTTCTCAGCTCTGTGGTTTGCAGGGATTTTGTTGTTGTTGATTTTTGAGAGGCAGTCTCTGTTACCCAGGTTGGCCATGGTTTTATGTGCTTCTGTTGCTTGCTTCAGCCTCCTCAGCAAGCTGGCATGCATGTGCCCAGCTATTTTTTAGGGGGGTGATGCCACCAAGCTGGTCTCAAGTTCCCGATCCTCTACTCTAACCTGTGTGCCTGGATCACAGGCATGCATCATTCCGTGCCTAGCATATACTTTGTGCCCACATAGACCTTGGCTCTTTGTTCTTTCGGTATTGGCCTTTCCATGCTGGCGTCAGGAGTCCCTTATGTTCAGAATTCAGAGCCCGTGATAATATGTTGCTGAGTTGTCAGAATCCTTTTTTGACATTGCTTACAATGGATTTCTCTATCAGAATTGTAAAGTTTTTATGTGGTTGGATTCATCAACCTTCAGTGTTTGAGTTGGTACATAGATAAGTAGGCCTTTCTGAGCAAGTGTAATTCCTTGAAAGGAATTGTTTACTGGGATCTGCAGAGCTTGGAATATTATATACAAAGTTTTGTGTACTTAGGCCTACAGATGGCTAAGACTCCTAAATTAAGAAAGAAAATGCATTTTCATCTTCAGACATGCCCTAGAAAATTAATTTGCTGGTTTTCTGTTTCAGACTCTTTTGCACGAAATGATACACGCCTACTTATTTGTCACTAATAATGATAAAGACCGGGAAGGACATGGCCCGGAGTTCTGTAAACATATGCATCGAATCAACCAACTGACAGGCGCCAACATAACGGTATGGTGGGCTACACACGTTTCGGGAGCAGGGGAGACAGTAAACCAGTTTAACCTCAAACTCACAATTCTAACTCAGCCTCCTAAACACTGGGCTTATAGGTTTGTGCCCCCAAGCAGCGGCTATTCAGAGTTACCATGCTTAGATTCATTCTCTAAACTGAAGATTTTCATCCTTGAACAAGAGTTCTTCAGAGGCTGGAGCGATGACTGCTCTTCCAAAGGACCTGGGTTTAATTCCCAGTACCCACATGGCAGTTCACAACTGTCTGTAATTCTAAAATCTGACACCCTCACACAGACGTGCATGCAGGCAAAACACTCATGCAAATAAATAATACATTTTTTTTTTTTTAAAAAAAAGGATCCTACAGAAATGAATGGACTTGTCTAGGCCCTATGGGTTGAATAGCCACAGACGCCACCAGCAACTCCAGATCAGCATCTCAGAGGAGCGTCTCCCACATCTGTGACAGGCCCTCATTGGAGGTTCTTTGAGTTCTGACGGTGTAGTATTAGAGGAGCTACCACAGCCAAGACTGAGGTGTGCCCTCCCTACACTGGTGACCTGCTTGTACTGCTGAACTCTTCTGGAACTATCCGCTGTCATGGAAATGAGATGACAACAGTGCTGCTGTTGGGAGCCTTGAGCAAGGACAGGGAGTGTATTAGCACAGCCTGAGTACTAATAAGTACTGTGTTATGGGCTGTGGGAATTTTTAGTTTTCTGTAGGAAGAATCTGGCTGTTGGCCCAGCCCTTTAGCAGTTTATATTGTTTCTAGGAATTTATGCTTTTTTCTGAGAGAGAAATTCCTCCCAGTTGGTCCCAACTCTTTCTCCTTGCTACAGACTTGTTACGGTGCTATAGTAAACCACTTTTCAATCTTAGATTTTGATAATGTTTAATCTCTGAAGCATTTAGCATTCATAGATGGGCTTTATGGTTATTCCCCTAACACATCAAAATCTCTCTCTCTCTCTCTCTCTCTCTCTCTCTCTCTCTCTCTTTTGGTTTTTCGAGACAGGGTTTCTCTCCTCTGCCTCCCAAGTGCTGGGATTAAAGGCATGCACCACCACCGCCTGGCTCAAAATCTCTCATTTTATATGCTGCTATGTACATTAGGAAGTTGTAATTATCTGATGTGTCCCTTTAAATGAACTTTTGAAAAGAATCTAAATACAGTAGCTGTCTTTCACAAAATAGAAATGTCTGAGAAGTGGAATATTTAATAAACACACACATACACAAAGACTTCTTCGGTAAAGTATCTCTGTACAGGGCTAACTTGTGTCTTGACTGCTGGACACTTCCCTCTGCCCAGGTCTACCACACTTTCCATGACGAGGTGGATGAGTATCGTCGGCACTGGTGGCGCTGCAATGGGCCCTGCCAGCACAAACAGCCCTACTATGGCTATGTGAAGCGTGCGACCAACAGGGCACCCTCTGCCCATGACTACTGGTGGGCTGATCACCAGAAAACTTGTGGAGGCACTTTCATAAAAATCAAGGAGCCAGAGAACTATTCAAAGAAAAGCAGAGGAAAGACAAAAGCAGGCAAGCAGCGAGCATCAACAGTGGAGAACAAAGGTACCTTTCCATCTCACCTCCCATCTCTGTGACCCTGGACAGCATGGACAGTGCTGCCTGTCGGGGGGCCAGGTGAAGGTTGCAAGGCTGTTCTTTTCAGGTAGAAAGAGTACAGAGTGGTGATGAGAAAGTGTGGCTCGCTCTGTATAGAAGGGAGAAAAGGTGAGCCGGTCTCCATCTGCAGTATCTGAGGGAAAGTCCAAGGCAAATGACTGTCAGATTGAAAACAGTAACTGAATTAACATCACCCAGACTGTGAGTCCTGACTAAGCCGGCCCTTCCTCTCTTAGTGACTTCTGCCAAGGTGTCCGGGGAGGATGAAAAAGGAGTCTGGCCTGCATTTGTCCATGTTGTCCTTAGGAGCTGCTCCTTTTCCTGAGAAGCTCTGAGGAGGCAGGAGTCACTGAAGTTGATACTTCCTCTTGCAAGGGTGTCAGTTTGGGGTCCCCTCAAGAGCCAAGCTGTTGTTCCTAATCAGAAATGCTGAGAAGTCAGGGGACTGGAGAACTGGTGTGGAGGGACTGAATTTTTGGGAAGCTGGGTGAGTAGGGAGCAGATTAGAGGAATCTGAACTCTGGGAAAATTCCTTAGTTCCTATTTATAATCTCTTCATCCTTGCTGTTCTTAGTGCAAGGCTCTGACTAATGAAGATTGCCTTCTCTTGTCAATAGGTAACTACTGCACAGATCTGAGAATAAAATAATCCTTCAGTTTAGATAATTACCATTTACTCAGTGTTTGTCGTGTGGCAATATGCTGAAGAAGAGTCTTGTCTGCTTCCTTTGCAGAAAAGCTGTGCAGAGGGGAGGCCCAGCCGCTCATCCCATTCAGTGGCAAAGGGTATGTTCTTGGAGATACAAGCACCTGCCCTTCACCTGGGAAGTTGAGCACTTCATACATGGTTAATGAAGCCAAAGGTCTCTCGAGTCAAGACCATTCAGCAAGTGGCCTGAGATTCGATTCCAATGCTGAGGTGAAATGTCAGCAGAATGGTTTCCCGAGTAAAAAGCCTCATCTGGTCTCCCCTGTCCCCACTTCCAGTCACCAGAGTGTCCTGAGCAGCTACTTCCCCAGAGTCTCTGTTGCCAACCAAAAGGCATTTAGAAACATAAATGGATCCCCAGTTAAGAGTGGGACCACTGGGGACTGCACCAAGCATCCAGCCTCATCTGGTTCTCAGAGAAAGGTCCCACCTTCCAGGGCATCCCTGAGAAATGCCTC